CATCGTTTAGTTTAGTTTATTCACAATAATTAATTGTTCGTTAAAAACTTTAAGTTAAAGAAGCTGTCATGACAGAACATCGTCAGTTTGATTTTCTGTCTCATTATGTGTTACGTGCGCAAGTGTCCGTGCGCAACAACCTAGTGCGTAAGATTCCTGTGTGGAACATTCCTCGTGCGTAAGGTACCCGTGCGTATGATTCCGTGCGCAAGTTTCCTCGTGCGCAACATTGTTCGCAACATTGTGCGCATCGTTCCGGAACCCGTGTACAAAGTTTCGATGAACAGTTTGTCTTGTTACGTATTGACTGTAGTAAGGTTTATGGCTTGTAACAATAATATAAATAAAGTTATTTCTGAAGCTGTAAAATGATAAATAAATATTTTACTTGCTTTAATGCTTTAACAGAATATTTCGTGTAATACTAAACCGACTATTGCGACAGTGTGTGAAACCGAAATTGACAAACAGAAAAGATTGTATTGTCATATTAGTGATAGCAATTTGAAATAACTCTAAACTTTTTATATCTTTTGTGACTTTTCGAAAGAAAACATTTCTCTGATATCTGCTGATCAAATCATTATGAGATATGATACTATCAAATACGATGAATAATAATAGTTATCGATTAAATTTCTACTATTTGATAATATCTCTTACACTTTCAAAATGGAAGTAAAATGTGTCAGCAACTAATTTAGAAAAAACTCGCTTTTCTCTCTTATGTGCACGACAGTAAAACGTGAATAAAAAATGTCTCGAATTCTAAGAGCATACACTATTAGCTCTTGTCTGTACTGTGAGATACTTCAGTAGCTGATGCGAAAGAACTTCACTTACACAAGACTATCTTGGCTCCGATGACTAAACAAGATTTACCGTAATCTTTGCCATATTAGTTGATATTTGCTACTCATGTCTGTCATCAATGACATCAAGGAATAGTGAGTAATTTCTGGTCAATAAGATGTTGCTTCTATTAACTGGTGATTTGTGCGAAGAGGATTATCTATTCTTTTGTATGTTCGTTCTAACTAGCCATCGGATAATATGCGAAAAGTTCTGGTACGTGTTGATCGTGGCACTCTCAGAAATGCGATAATTCATAACTTTCAGTCTATCAAACACCATGAATGAATCTGCTTGAAAACGTCAGTTGTAATACTTAAACAAGATATTAAAATAAGTATTAGTTTATAAAATTTAAAAAATATTTCATATAAAAGCAGATGTTTACTTACAATTTATTGTTTTAATTAATTTTACTATTGATGTTGGTGAACAATTCTGTTTTTCAATTACAAATGATTGTTTAATCATAAAACGTCTATTTTCCCATAGTCGTGTAGTATATTCATGTAAATCATGATTTTTTACTGTTTCATTATGCCAATTATATGTTGAATATTTACCAGCTTTACGATTTGTTAATCGTCCAATGCTAACATTAACTTGAATTGGTGAAAATATTGTTATATTTGGTACTATACACTCAATATCAAAACTTATATTAGTGTTTGAGTATAATGGCCAATTAACATAAAATAAATTTGTTGATGCTGATATTGATACATGTTCATTTAAATCTGGTATTTTACTGAACACAATAGGCAAAACGATAAATTGTAGTATTAATAACAGCATTATTCTATGAACACACTAATCTACATAAAGTGCAATGCATGCAACTTAAATATGTTCTCGTTTTCTTCTTACCTTATCAGTTAATTGATCTAAGCAAAAGAGTCAAAAAATATGACTTTACGTGTATACTTGTCAGAATAGAAAAAAAGAAAAATACTTTCTATTTTACCTTTAAAATTGTTTTTTAAATCTGAATTGTAAAAAATAATCAGTCGCTCGTCTTAAGTCAATATTGACTTCTGATATATGTACTTATTAGTCAAAGAGATGAAAGTAAATCAGTATGTATGTCTCTGACATACCGAAAGATTTTGATAACAAAACATAAAATTATCTTTTCTTTTGATTTAAAAAAGTGCAAGAAAAGAAAAAACATATAATGTTAGAATATGCTTGAGTCATTGACCAACTCTTGTTGATTAACTCATAGCTGAGTAAAAGTTACATCGCAAAACTTTTGTTAGATACTGTAGTTTTGATCGTTAAACAAGGCTTGATGTAAGGGAGAAAACGTATTACTATACATGTCAGAAAGCCATATATTTGGTTATCTTTTAAAATACCTCTTTTGACTCACATAGAGGTCACTAGATCACGCCATTCGTTAGAATAATCTGACAGCCGTCTTTTTATGGAAAATAACTTTAAAAGCATTACAAAAAATTTTAGTCTTAAAAAGATAAAGTTGTTTTTATTTGAGAAAATAGATCAAATTGTCAATAATTGAAGTTATCTCTACTCTTTGCGCCCCATGCTATAAATATATCATACAAATTTTCGGAAAGCCCTAGAACTGGTACACGAATATCTGTGAGAATTCTCCAGAAACTGGGAATATAAGATATTGACTAGGCTAAGCTTCATAGTAATGCCTGTTTTCAATATAAATTATTAAAATCCTAGTGAAAACGTACACTATAAAAAGATAGTACGTAAAATATACACCAGAGCTCCGTATGGACTCAAACTTTTGAGTTCACTCCATGGATTAAAAAAATTTAATCCAGTTCAACCCGCGTTCATGGAAAACAGTTTTTTAAATCCAACCCAGTCCATGGGCTTGAAAAGAGTAGTTCAGTCCAGTCCGAGGTCAGTAGGTTATCACGAGGACACTTCACATATGGGAAACCAAATACTTTCCCAACCTATGACTTTGCTGCTATAGAATCATGGTCTTTTTGGTGTTTCAAAAACCGTTTCATTAGGGGTATAGATATTAGTTTTCGATATCAGATCTGACGTTGCTATCATCTCAAACTATTTAAGAAAGGCTGAATTGCAGTAAGGAAAAGCCTCCTATATCCTGATTGGGATATATATCCCGATCGAGATATAGCTATAATCCGATCAGGATATAGAAAAAAATAAATATCCCGACTGGGATATAAAACACAAAGTTTCGCCATAAAAACGATTAGGGGGAAAATTACAACGTTATTGGGGGAAAACTTGACATTACCATTGGAAAGGGCTCGAAAAACTACATCGGATTCTGTTGTGCTTGATCAAAAGTGCATCAAGCACCCAGCAACTATTTTTTCGAACAAAAACCTTTAACAAATTTCAATTGAATTAATATCCCGATCGGGATATAAAACACAAAATGTCGCCGTGAAAACGATTAAGGGAAAAATGACAACAGTATGGGGAAAGATTAACTTCACCATTAGAAAGAGCTCGACAAATTACAACAAAACCTGCCGTGTTTGATCAAAAGTGTATCAAGCGCCCAACAACTATTTTTTCGAATACAAAGTTTTAACAAATTTTAGTCGACTTTATATCCCGATCGGGAAATAGACTGTTAACCTGTTATTGCTCAGAATGGAATATACTCTTGATCTAATCGCTTTCCAAACGACCGTCTTTTTCTATTTCTTCCTTTTCGAAAGATCCATATATTGAAACACATATTTCTCTTCTCATGACAATATATAAGTACACGTGCTTTGTGTTTAATGGGGAATCTTCCAACTATTAACTCATGCAGATAAACTGCCTTAAATTTTTGTGTAAGTGAACTACAACTTGCTTAAAAGTCATTTATACTCACAATGATCTAACGGTCCTTCCTTTCATGCATTCTTGGACGTTCGGTCAAACTTATAAGCGGCAGCTTCATTAAAAGTGAGACATAGCTAAAAGAACGTCTAAACACAAGATACGTTTACGATAGTTTATTCAGTAAGAATTATGCTAGTCTATATTGAAGAAAGACCTTCGTAAAGGCCGTCGCTAGGTTATTGCTTTTCATATCAAAAAATCTGTTATACATGGTTGTGGTTTTTTTATTTTACCACTGTATTATTATTATCAACTGTATTTTCATACAGCAAAGTAGATTGGTATAACGTGGATATCGCTGGGATTGGCAGATATAACTCGCAGTCATCTAGCGATGGAAATAGTAATGCACTCTCTTTTGAGTGAAACGTTTCAGACTCATAAATTAGACAGGAACAGAGTATTCCCTAACCAGTTGTTTCCGATATAGTTTGATTTTATTGATACTGCCGATTAAAAGTTATAACTAAACGTCCGACCCATGACTCATTCCGAACCATGGCCGTTAGATCATAATGTCTGGTAGAGCAATACTCCTTTCAAACTAATTAGATTTGATGAGAAACACATTAATGTGAAACTTAGAAATTACACTAACCAACAAAAATGCTTTTATATCCTGATCGGGATACAGATTTTTTTGATATCTCACTCTTGACTCTTACGTTCTTAGGATTCGTGCCAGACCACGTGCCTTAGAGCTATGTACTTTTTTTGTGCTTAATTCATGCGTGAAGTTAAAGAAAAACTTTAAGTTTCCTCATAAGGAAGATGCGGCCTACAAAACATAAAAACAATAATACCTTTTGAAAGATTCGATACATTTCAAAAAAAGATGTTTTCTGTCACGAGACACCATATGGACATGCCGATCTCCGATTTCGTTCGTTCATACATCAGTCGATAGAGGGATATTTCCATTAAGAACCTACCACGTTATACAAAAAGATAGGCGCCAGCTGTGAGATACACCTCATTAGGTGCAGTTTTGGACGCTGCATCCAATGGTGAAAAC